TTTAGTTTTAATAAATATTTTACCAAGTAAATTTCAGCACTAATAGCTATTATTCTCTGAATTGTTTATTTTTATTACAATTAATTTTTATCGTACGATTTACATCATATAAATTAATACAGTATGATAATTACCTTGATTACTAGAATTATATAATTCAGTATAATTTATTTTTATTAAATATCCTTTAAAAAATATTTATTCATTTAGCTAGTATGCCACATAAAATTAATTATGCTTAATTTTAAAAAATTGTTTTTAATTTAGTAATAATTTTTATATATTTAGAAACCTTATAACGAAATCTAAAATTTATACTTAATCAATACGTTTACAAGGAATTTTTACAACACTTGTCATTTTAATAATAAACATTATTCCTGTGAACTAATAATACTATGAATTATTATATTTGTTAACATGTGTTAATCTTAAATTTACAATTCAACATAAATTAATACATATACGATAATTAAACAAGACATATACACGATTATTAATAAATTATAATTTATTACTGTTTATAATAGTTATATGCCGGCAATTGTTGATTCAAATTAATAGAAGCAAGGTCGAATAATGTATACCTTAATTGCGTTCTCAATTATACTGATTATATTATCATTGATACAATTTTTATACAATAAATGGACATTTTGGAGCCGTCAGGGTATACCACAAGACTTGTCCTCTCGTACTGGACAACCGTATCAGTTGGTAGACCCCGAGGCTCACCGAAAACATGGAAAAGTGTTCGGGTATTATATTATCCTAATATATTCTAGATCAATTTTAATTAGTAACTATTTTAATATTTAGTTTTTATGAGGGCCTGAGACCATGTCTGTCCATAACGGACACCAATCTAATACGGAAAGTGTTGGTCACGGAGTTTCATAGTTTCGTGAACCACAGGGTAAGTCAAAAATTATTCATAACTAACGTATTAAAGAGAAAATAATTAATTGTATGGAAAACCTTTTAAAACCAATTTTTTGTTTGAAAACTAGTTTACCCGTCATTATAATACAATATGCTAGTTAGCATTTAGAATTGTCCACGCTTAATTTTTAAAATTCATTTATAATGAGTTATTCTTATAAATATACTGCGATCAGTTACAAACCAACTATTTCTTTCTTTAATTAAAAATACTAAATAATAACCAATTTTAACAACAAGTATACCAAAATGTTCAGGGATAATGAAATTTTATATCTGTATTAAAGAATAGCCATAAGGTTATTTACCTTGATCATAAATATCGAGTAAACGTGCGAACACGCGCTTCGAGTGAATATCTAATATCACTGGTTCTTAACAGTGCTCTCAAACGCAAAGCAGTGAAAGTTCACAATAAATGAATCAATGCTTCCATTCATAGCACTGTAAGGAATCATGCATTTTATGTGTACTCGAAACGCATGTTTGCACGTTTACTCACTATTTATTATCAAGGTAAATAACTTATGGGCATTCTTTAATACAGATATAAAAATTTCATTATCCCTGAACATTTTGGTATACTTTTTGTTAAAATTGGTTATTATTTAGTATTTTTAATTAAAGAAAGAAATAGTTGGTTTATAACTGATCACAGTTTATATACGTATATAGTTACTATATAAATTGTATCAGGGGAGTTATAACAATTTTTGTTGCTAACAATAATTACTCAAATTATAAATATAATACATACTATAGTATTCATATAAATGATTACTAATTATAATATTGTAACGCCTGTCGGGCACCAGTTGCTGACCGACCCGAGCGAGATCATAGACTACGGAGTATTCTTTGCGCGATACCCGCAGTGGAAACGCGTCCGCGCGCTACAGAACCCCTTGTTTTCGGGGGGAAAACTAAAATCCGTGAAACCCATGATCGAGCAGATTTTGGACGAACTGTGCGCCAAACTCGAGCCCATGGCTGCCGGCGCTCAGGTGATCGATATGCGCACGTATTACGACGCGTTCACGTTTGACGTCATATGGACGATGACTACCGGCGCCAACGCCCGGGCCATCCAGAATCCCCATAATAACCCGCTGTTCGACGCCACGAGGAAAGTCTTCCAAAAGGATCAAGAGATCAGAGATTGGGTGGTCTTCTTCTTGCCATTCACGAGACGATTCATGAAAATCACGTTTTTTGACTCGAAAATCGTGTCACTAATCGGCCGATCCATAAGTCACGTGATCGATGAGCGTATGGACAAGAATATAGTTGTTCCCGATTTGCTCCAACACCTCATCGACACCAGTGTGTTGGCCCCAACCCCCACAATATTAATAATAATAATGACATCAATAATGGTAACAAGATTTCGTTTGATAGTAAATCTCTCTCTCTCTCCTTCTCTCTCTCTCTCTCTCTCACTATTTTATCGTTTAAAAACTACCATGATACAATAATTATCTATTAGAGTTAACCGTCGACGAGGTGTTGGGCCAGAGTATGAACATGTTAGCGGCCGGGTATGAGACAACTGCCACCCAATTGTGTTTCATAACACGACTACTGGCGCTCCACACTCACCATCAGAACAGACTCTACAAAGAGATTCGGTCGACATTTCCGGACCCATCGGAAGTCGATTACGAAAAGCTCAATAAAATGCCATTTCTGGACGCATTCATAAACGAGGTGTTCAGGGTCAACTGCTCGGTCAGTAGGTATGTCCAATCGAGTAGTGTACTAGTTAATACGGGAGCTGGTTGTTCAGGTGTATTATAATGTTACTTATAAATCTATGATAACATTACATAGAGTATGGAAACTAAATTATTATTATAAATTCCATGTAGGCTATTTAGCATGATAATATGCACAGATCACAGGGTCAGATTAAAAAGTTGACTTGATGAGTTGCTGTAAAACTATAATTTCTAAACAGTTTATTGAATATTCTTTATGATAACAGAATCGAGAGAATCACTACAAATGCACGCGATTTGGACGGCATATACCTGCCAAAGGACACGCCTATTATAATACCCATTTGGGCCCTACATATGGACCCGGATAACTTCGAGGATCCTGAGCAATTTAGACCGGATAGATTTATGCCCGAGAATCGACACCTGATTAAGGACTACACACTCCTGCCGTTCGCTACCGGCCCTCGTAATTGTATCGGTCGTAAATTTGCCATGATGGAGTTGAAGTATTGTTTGGTCAAAATGTTGTCCAAATTTGAGTTCCAGGCCTGTGAGAAGACCAAGGTAAATTTAGTATTATTAGTACTATGTCTACAAAAGTACCAATAAATCAATGAATTTATTAATATTAATTTCAATATATATTATGATAGGAACTGGACTATTATAAAGCACTCATTCAGCTAGCAAGTATGAAACATTTAACGGTTCGCATAAAGCACCGAGTTACTTGTTGATCGTATGTGCAAAAGATTACAATAAATAATGCTAGTTATTAAAGTGACTGGAAACTATCATTGTTAATAAAAATTAATACAATGTTTTTATTTTTATAGTATAAATATATGATAATTTACATATTAATATTATTATTATATTAATTTATTTTAGTGATTTTTCAATTAACACTAATCATGAGTATTATAGTGCAATATTTAGTTTAATGTCCATGCTCACTTAAGCTCACTGTTATTATAGTAGTTCATTGAAAGTATGTCATTAAATAAGAATTCAAAACTCACTATAAGTTGCTTCCGGTTTGCATCGGGCACACAGTGTCCGTGGATAGACACTGACGTGTGCATCGGTGTCGATGAGAAACTGCTTTTGGACAGGCTGTCGGTGAGGAATAGACGACGGCTTTCGAATTGGGGATCAGTATTCGTCTACTGACCCCCGCTCTCGTTTCCCTGTTGTCGTTTGCAGGGCGCCGAGCACTTGAGGGCTTTGTCACCGAACTCCCGGTGATACGAGCACTCGTCGCTGCGATTTCTTCAATTAGAGCGAACGGATCGACGGCCAAGAGATCGTCGGTGACCTCTGCTTCTGTGCGTCATTTGCGATATTTGGCGCATGAGTTCGTCGATCTTCTGTTGGAGTGCTGTATTGGTGGCCGAAGCGGAGGCTACGGCACCAGTCGGATGAGTGGAGTGGAGGGAGTCAGCAATGCGCGCAAGTGTTCAGAGATTGCCTCCGAAACTGTCAGTATTTTCTGCGAGTCTGCCGGTAGTCGAGAGCCATATGTTGAGGAGTACGTCGTTTTTGATGGGGTCCTTCGCGAGTGTTTTCAGGCGGCGCAAGAGCTGTGATGTCGTCCGACCTCCGAGTTCTTCGTTGTGAAGCAGTTGTTTAAGACGTTTGGTCTGTGATTGCGAGAGACGCTCAATGAGTGCGCCCTTAATCGCCTCGTATTTGCCTGACTCGGGCGGTTCTGCTATGATGTCCTGTACTTCGGTAGCCATGGCTTGAGTGAGAGCGACCACGACATGGCTGTACTTCGTGTCGTCGACAGTGATCGCAAACTGACTCGATTTGCGCGAACCAAAGGGTCGGGTTGTTTGCCCAAAACGGCGGCGGTTTGACTGACACGCGACACACCGTTTCGGTCGACGAGTTTTCAGACATCTTGAGGTGCAATGGACAGCACAGTTATGTCGAGGAATGCGGCAGAAGTTATAACCAATTGTTGTCAATACGGCGCGAATGGCAGTCAATGTGTTGCGAAGGCGTGTAAACACTTGTATTCACTTTTGCGTTGATTGTAGAGCCGATGCTGTCGTTTACGACGTATCACTAGATTGAGATCACGTCCGGGTCACCAATCTGTGGGGATATACCACAATAAATACGACAGGATTTCGGGTTTAATCAGATTTATTAATGAGCGAAAAGTGGGAACAAATGAGTGTACAAATAGACTACTAATAGAGAAAGGGATGTAGACTAGAGATACAGAGATATACAGAGAATACGAGTGAGAATTAGTTTGAGAGAAGGGCTGACCCCAAATAGTTACGACTGTGATGTCAAATATCAGGTAATTGCATATAAAAAGTAAGTGCTTTTGAAAAACAATTAACTCACGAGTATTACTATCATTGTTAAGGACCACAACAAGAACTCTATTGTCACCATCTGTTCCAGAGGTCAAGTGAGTTTGTTTTATTGTAAATTTACATATTATTTACTGATAATGTATCACGGGCATCCTATAAAAAATGATACTAAACATTATTGTTTATATATTGTGATTTATAATATTTAATTTTAATTATAATATAAACAAGTAAGATTTCATTAAAAGGTTGCCAAGTTATAAAATATTTTAATAAATATAAATAAAATATAATTGTAAATAACTTTATTATTAATGTTTACGTTTAAAATTGCAAATATTTTGTATCATTTTCTCATATGTATTGAATTTCGCATTTAATTTAAGGTATATTTTGTGAAATATCGCTACATTTGTGTTAAA